AAGAAAAATGATTTAGGAACTTTGGGTTTTAAAAAAAATCGAACAAACCGGTTCTACTTCCTCCCGCAACTCCGCTATAGTAGCGGATTGATTAGTGGTGTTGGCAGAGGGTAAATCAGAAGTGGCTATGAATGATTGACTCATATATGATTAGAAGTAGAAGAATTGGGCATTTTGATTATTCAAGAGAGGCGAAAATATAAAAGGCTTCGGCTGCTGCAAATACTCCATATAATGTGGCAGATTGGCAATGTATGAGGAGATTGATCCTACTGATTTGATTGAGGGAGCAATCCATTTGCATGATTCGGGCTTAGTTTCTGGGGTATATATCAAATTAGGGATTTTCAATTATGCAAATAATAAATCACCTATACTTGTTGCGTTTATCAGCTAAAATTTTCAATTTAGAGATAACATCATTTAGTGAAAAGAGATATCCTAAAAAAGAAAAGAGAAACGAGATATATTTTAGAGTATAGAGTGAATGGGGGGAAGATAATAGGGGGTTTTTGTTCTAGAACTTCCTTTATACTTACATTTACATCACTGTTAAAGAGAGTAAGAGGCAAAAGTTTGCATGTGATGAGTCCACGCATGAACACCAAGTGGAAGTAGTCTTTTTTTCTTCTTTTTTTTTTCAAAAACTCAAGTGGTAGAGTAGTAGAACTAGCACATAGGACCGTAGTAGTTTTAGATTTTAACACTTTGACTAAAACTCTAAAATAGTGGTACACTTCTAGTATACTTCAATAAGTTTGGTATTTACTAATTTGCTTGCTTACACTTCTAGTATATATTTATACACTAAAAAACTCTAAAATAGTGGTATACTTCTAGCCTGTGTGTGTATATATATATAGACACACACACATAAACAAAAAATATACTACTAGTTTCTCTTTAATCTTTTGATATAATTTTTGAACTCTGGTGTAGTCACAATTTCTCTGGACCATTTTTTGGAGGAGAGTAGTGAATCATTGTCAATTGATAGGCTGCGATACATCAGTTGGCATCAGAGACTAGTTCGTTCCTGGGATTCTTTGGTAACAGGTTTCGATTCATCTCTTGTGTTTTGTTTAGGTTTGGAGGGTTACTAGTTGGAAACTAATTGTTCAATTGTTGGTTGAGTTACCGCGGCTTGGGGTTATATTGATTTATTACATCACTTTTGTTATTCATGTGATTGATACTCACATATTGGAGTTAGAGTGGTACCAGTTATTATAAATGGATTCTTGAGTTTGCACTTATTGGTTAGTTCTTGGTCGATTGTCAGGGCTACTTGCGGATTGGTTTGTTTTTTTTTCTATTGTTGGTCTTGTTGTTGCTGGTTGGGATTGAATGGTGGGAATTATTATTATTAATATTATTGTCATTTTGTGAATTACTGGTGGTAATGTTGATGAGTTGGTGCCTGAAAGAGTTTGGCCGGTGCAGTGACTTTGATCAACTACTATAATTTGGTTCCGGGAACTAATTGGTTTGAAGTAGCAAATTTTGATCAATTACATTACCTTAGTTACTGGTTTGTGTGCTGTTAACTTGGATAGCCAAGTGGAGTTGATCACTTTAATTTTGTGGTTTCTCTTTTGGGTTAATTAATTGGTCTGGAACCTAGAAGTGCCTCTGTCGAGACTTTGTTTGCTATAAGGTTAGTTTTGACTTGTCATATGAAAGTAGTAGAAGTAATTATACATTCCTACATGGTGTTGTTAGGGTTCAAGATTATAGGCTTCCGCCAGCTGCATCAAACTCTTAATACAAGTAAATATTACATATATTTGTAAATTTTGTATCAAATTACCTATGATACAAATTGCATATGTGCATAAAAGGTTACATAACAAACAATTGATCAACATCCAATCGATAAAATTAAGAGCTCATAGTTTAAACAAATGTGTGGACTTAAACATTTCAGTATAATCGTACAAATAACGTTTTAGTACTTTAGTTAATTATAAATTTTTAAGTTTTGGTCGATATAACTTAAGGTTCTCCTTTATGTTTTCCACTAATTCAAAAGTTCTCTAATATGTCTCTTCAATTGTAAAGTTGATATGATAATATATATATATATATATATATATATATATATTAAGTAATTAGACACTAATACTATGTGTATGTTCCTTTTGAGTATATTACAGCTTTGTTACTTTTCTTTAAATTAATTATTTTATAATTTTCACCAATAATATAATATGTATTATATTAAACTAATGAATATGTTTTGATTCAATTTCATATGATGTCACATTCAGTTATATTCTTATAGAAGGCATGCTGAGTGGTTTATTACTTATGATATTCAACAAATTATTATATTGATAATATCAAATGTGTAAAATTAAACTATGAATTTATTTATATCCCAACTATTACTAATTAATATATATATAATATGTGTGGTTATATAGTTAACCGCACCGAAATGAACCAAACCACGAATTTCGGTCTCGTTAATCGAAATAAAAGTAAAAATCCGATAACCGAACCCTTCGCCTCCTTCTAGAAGCGGTTTGGCTAAAAATCCGAACCGAAAACCATTTTGAACCGAACCGAACTGTTCAGATGCGATTTGTTTCTGGCGGTTCTCACGGTTCAGTTAAACCGTGCCCACTCCTACACACAAGGGGCAGAAGGAAATGAGAAGACTTTGAATTTCGTGGTGAATTGAGAAAGCATAATCATAAAACAACATGTTTCACTTTTGGTTCAAACAAAAAATAGTTTTGATTGTTTGGGCAATCTTGAAGGCTTAGGAGGTAGTACCGAAAATGTCAAACTTGAAGGAGTTTCGAAGGATGAAGCTGAAGAATTATTCACAGAATATGTAAGACCTGACAAAACTGAAAGGCAAATATTACCAGGTTCGAATGAGGAGAAGGGGATGGAAGTGATTGAAACTCTTTTAGTTGATGGGAAAAATATTACTCGGAAGAATACTCCAAGCTCAAATATATTGAAAGTTGCTGAAACAAAATCGGATAAATAGAGCGAGAGGAGGCTCCCAGAATAATCGTTGAAATCCAACCCAACATCGGAAGCTGAATCTAATACTAAAAAACGCAAACTTCCTCCTTCCAGTTCGATTTTAACTTTTGCAGAAAAAACTTCAAATGTAGAAAATTACCCTTTCTCAGCAATATGGAGGCAACTAATGTGTGTGAGGACAAAGAAAATGATTTAAATGAAAAGGTTGCTGGAAAAATGGTAAAAGATCTAGATCAGAGCACTCAATTAAAGCAACTAACAGTCTTGACAACAGAGCCAGTGAAAAGTCAGGTCCAATATTTGGAAGAGATAGTGACTGTGGAGGATACAAATTAATGACTGTATGGATAAATAAGAATAATCATATGAAAATTTTGCTGTAGAAATTATGGAAGATCCGCTTATAGAAACGGCAGTCACCCTAATTTCCGATGGGGATCCGCTTATAGAAACGGCAATCACCCTAATTTCCGATGGGGATCAATTCATAGGGAAGCGTGGCTTGAAAATAGACGAGGCGCAAAAAAAGTTAGAACTGTCGCCTCCTCTTTATTTTTATTTAAATTCAAATAAAAAGGGGCCATATCCCTACCAGGCACTGCCTGTTTTGATTAAAAGAAAGAAAAGCTCTAACGTTTTCCGGCAATCGGAGGGTTAGCGAACCCTCCAGGCCCCTATGCCGATGGTCATAAATCGTCTTGTACTACAAAACCTGAACCCTGAATTTGTATACGGTGCCTACTTTTTTCTTTAGTAAGATATAAAGAAGAATTTAATTTATCTGAAGGTTAATTCCTTAATTTGCATCTTGGTTTTGTTAGGGCAGATAAAGATAATTAATGTAATATGATTAATCAAATAATTAGGTTAAGCATGTAGGTTTCATTTATTACCATAAACAAAGCAATGAATTCAATGTTTACTTTGTGGTGCTAACAACTAAATTTTAAATACATAGACCAACTTGTACTTAGGAACGAATTCAATGCCACATGCATGGAGCAAGCTCACAATGTTTAATGTATATACCATAAACAAAGCAATGAATTCAATGTTTAAAGTGTTAGATAAAAAATTTGTAATTGTAAAGTTAGTTTTACAATAATTAGAAGAACACAATAAATGTGAAAATGTATTTTAAAGTTTTTATTTTAATTAGAAAAACATAGTAAATGAAATTTACGAAAAATCAAAATATTTTATAACGGAAACTGGAAGTAGAGGAGTGTTGTTTGCAATACATTTTAAAATTTAAATCTATCTTTGACTATCTTTCCAGGAAGGGCATTAAAATAATTGTTGTTACCTTAGACGGTCTCAGTAGATGCACAATTACATGTAGTTAATATGACAAACAAAGAAAAATCTTAAAAACATTTGATTTACCTGAGGTTTGATCTAGTACATATTTTTAATTGATCAAAAAATCTTAAAAATATATCATAACAATCAAGATAATACAACGAATGTGAAAATATATTTTAAAGATTTTTTAATTAAAAATACATATTAGGTGAAATTTAAAACAAATTCAAAATACCTTATATTAAAGACCGGAGGCAATACCTTCATGCACTATCAAATGGGAGACATTTAATTTATAATTTATGATACTCCAGATTATATTATTCTTATCCCTTCTCATAAAATTATAAATTTCCATTTTTACTTGTATCTGACTGCGTAAGTTGAATGGTGTAACACTACGCGCGCGGAGTGTATATTTACCATATGTTCTCATAGTCCAGGATTTGAAATTCATTACAAAATATGCAATAGCATCTGAGGTTTGGATAAACTTTTTTTATATATATATGGAATTTCTTTCCATTCATTCGTAAAGAAATAATAACTTATCAATTATATTAATTACTGAGAAATTCCTCATGCGATCGGAAATGTATATTAAGGTATGGTTATAACTTCAGCCAAGATTACGGGCATTTATTTTGTGGATAAGAGTGCACTAAATGTAAAACTAGATACATTATTCTGTAGTAGAGTATTTTACAGGTCATGGTTATAAATATACGCATGGAGAAGAAGAAAATTAACACGAAAAAAATCTAAACCCGATTTCTTTTTTCTTCTTCCCATGGACGCCAATATCATTGTCATATTATTTGGAATGTTCATTTTCAGTTTCTCCAAATTTGGAATTGAAGGTAGAAGAGTTGTCACTGAGGGACGATTAAGGTATTCAACCGCAAAGGTATTGTCATTTTCTTCAAATTAATATTTTTCAGGCTAATTTCAATTGTAGTATTCTCTTGTCAATCGCCGTTAAAGTTTTTCTTTTTTTCTCCTCGTATCTTTGGGCAGACCATCCACGGTGATATTTACGATTGCGTCGACAGGACGAGCCAGCCCGGTTTTAAGGAGGCAGCCTTGCTTAAGGTAATAATTAACTTCACGTATAAAAACATCCAATGTCCTCCGGTGGCGTTCCTTGTGTTAAAAATCTGTACAATGAAAATTGAATTTTTTTTAGTTTTTTACCCGTTAATGTCCTTAAGAGTGATAATTAAGGAGTTATGTATGAATTTCGTAATTATATATTAGTGTAAATGATTAACTAGTTTCTATGATTTTTAAATTATTGCATCAGACCTTGCAGAGGTTCAACAATCAGTCAGTCAACGTTACTTCAAAGCATAAAGGTTTCGACTTGGATAAAATCTGGGAAGGGAAACGCTGTCCCACTGGAACGGTGCCGATTCCACGAAAAACTGGAAACATTAACCCAATCCCCATTCCGACGCTGAATCAATCCCTTGCCTATCAGGGTGGAACTGAAGTCTGTGATACTTTCATTTTAGTAATTTAATTTTGATTATCCATGATCCTCAATTTTTCGATAACATTGATGAATTGCGACCACAGAGATGTAAAATAATCTAAAATTTAGAAAGCCTCTTCCTATACATCAAACGAACTACTGCGCTTCATTTCATTTCTTGTTGAGTTGCTTGGGCAAGTTGCTTTACTTTTCCTTCAAAAGTAAAAAGATGTTGTTTAACCACTCATGCAAACATTCATTTTGTTACCTAATACCCCTTCAAAATATTTTTTTTTTCACTTTAACTATCTCTCGTTGTTGGTGTTCAGGTTTTGAAAGCGATGAAAATAAACGTTTAAATATTTGTAAAGAACAAAATGGTGTAATAATTATTATTCGTACATAATTACATTTTGCTGCAAAAAGAAATGAATTACGACAAGTCGCTATGTGATTCATTTGCCTTTATATTTCTTGTGTGTTCGATTAACATATATACATTTTTGTGTTTCTTTAAAATATAAAAGTTTTGCTTCATGCTTAAGTTTGGAAACTATTAGTCCCTCTCTCCCGTTTTGAAGATCTTGTTGCTTTCCAGTTTGCAGGAATTGTCGTAAATCAACCCGGCCTCACAGGAGCATATGCTCAGATAGCTTTATGGAATCCCCAACCAGTCAATCCCGGTCAATTTAGTGCCGCTTCAATATTAATTGAAAATGGACTAGATGTAATAGAAGCCGGATGGATCGTATGTAGTTCACAACACCTATTATTATTATTATTATTATTATTATTATTATTATTAAGTTGACTGGCTGACTTCCTCTATTTCCTTCAATCTATAATTTATGGATTAATATCTTATTTTAAAACCTTTCCAGGTACATCCAGATCTCTATGGCGATACTCGAACTCGATTATATACTGCTTGGCGAGTATGTTATTCAATAATTTAAAGAAAAAAACTGAACTTGCGTTGTGAAAATTTTTTGTGCAATTTTTTTGCTTTTTCCCTTGTTAATTTTTTTTCTTTTTTCTATTTGTTTCTTTTTAACAGAGTGCAAGAGGAGGTTCCTATAATACGGATAATCCGGGATTCATACTTTTCAGTGATGAAATTCCTTTAAATTATGTTTTTCCACGAACGTCTAATAAAGCAAAAGAGCGTGATCAATTTTCCCTAATGATTCAAGTGGTACGTAATTGATAATGATAAATTTTTTACATACTCATTGTGGTAGCTTCAATATTTTTCATGCTTCTGATTATCATTTATTGGGGGAGGAGGGAGTGGAGGACGTTGTCCTCATTTTTTTTTTCAATATTTTTCATTTTCAAAGAAAGAAAACAAAATAGTTAATTTACTTGTCCAAAAAATTTAAAAATATATAAGATGTTATGTCTAGTCAAATCAAACATGATATAACTTGCTTATTCAGTATCTTCTTCTGCTTGTATAGAAATTAATTTTTTAGTGAAAGAGTTAAAAACATGTTTAAAACCTAACAAATTAAAGGGTTCTTTTGTGTTTTCTTATGAAATTATTTATTTTTTTTAAAAAAATATAGGGAGATGTGGCTGGAAACTGGTACTTGACCGTGAATGATATTGATCTTGGTTATTGGAGAGCTGCGGTTGTCCCAAATTTGTCTAAGTCCGGAACTACGATCCGATTTGGAGGCCAGGTTTACAATCATCCCCCTGTTCAACAAGATAGCCCTCCGATGGGAAGTGGAACTTATGCCGGTGATAATCCGACAAAAACTAATTATATGCAGCATGTTACCGTTCTTCTAAATGAATTTAAGCCTCCACCGAGTTATCAAAAAGTGGAATCCCGTTGTTACTTCACTGGTTCAGATGGATATCATGGATTGAATGGGATCGACGCGTTTCATTTTTTATTTGGAGGAACAGGTGGACATGATCGTACCACTTGCTATTACTGAGCTTATAAGCTAGCCTTAGTAAAGGTTCTGAATAATATACATTATACTTTAACTTATTTTAAGGTCTTCATATTTTAATTTACTATCATAATCCTACATAATAATTAGGGAATATGTTGTTTGGAAGGGACGAACTTGGTATTCTTTTGAACAAAAAAAAAAAACAACTTAATTTTCGATCTTTTAACTTAATCATACATTTTTAATAACCTTTTATTCTCCTCAGTATACGTTCAGAACTTTATTCCTTTTATTTATTATAAAAAATCTTTTTTTGAGGGTTTAATATTCAAAACATTCCCCAAACTGTTAAAGGAAGAAGATGAACTGTTAAAGGAAGAAGATGAAATGTTAAAGGAAGAAAATGAATGTCATTCACAATTGTCTTTGAATGTATCTAACTATCAAACATCCTTCAATCATTCGGGTCATTAATTATTTTTACCATTTTACATAAAAGGTCACTGATTAAATCGAATAACTAATTTATAGCAATGCTATCCTATTATTCTGTATATATATTTGAAAAATGCTATCTCCAGTTATCAAGAGCCACCGCACCCGACTAGTTCCATTTTTATTCAAAGCCTAGACCATCAAATGCCGGAAAGGAAGTATAAATTAACAATCATGAGTAATATGCTCTTGCAATTGTTGAATAACTTTTGAATTTAAATTTTGATTCTATTTAATATACTACATTCTTGTTTCTATCTATAGTTATCTTTTAGATATTACTGTTGCAAGATTTGTCTTGTGGCACAAAATGCCTATATCCATCCAATTAATATTCCCTCCATCCCGATATTATTGTCCAGTTTAGATTTACATTTTTATTACAAATTGAAATTGAAAACTTAAACTGGACAATAATTTTAGGACAGAGAGAGTAATATTCTTATCCTCTACATTATATATTAAAAATATGTGGATATCCAAGGTGATCAAACTTGAGGTGATCCAGATATTCAAGCTCAAAGTCAACAAATCTTGGTTCAACTCGCTAGATGAAGAAAAGCAGAGAAGACCCAGATTATTCTTAAACATGTCGGGCTTGGACCCAACTTTTTTTCACTACTAATGATCAGTTAGGAGCAAGCAGGTAATGGTACTCGAATGTTCCAACTAGTTAGGAAGCTGAACTCAAAAAACCAAAAACTCCAAATGTTCATTATTAAAAGATAGGGTCCAAGAACCAACCTAAACAGTACCCAAAAGACTCCATCTCCGGTCCAAATGGATGCGGAGATGACTGAAATGCTTCCTACCAACCACGACAAGGACAATCCGGCAACCACAGCAGTCAATAATCGAGATCCAGTGTTGAATGCTCCGTCCCATCCAGATCAACCTGAGACAGTCAATAACTGAGACAGTCAACTCCAGCTGAGGGGACTCAATCTTTCAAAGATAGATGCTACAGAGCCAACAAAACCGTTTTGCCAATGGATTTCACATGTCCACCGTCAACGTTGAGGATGAAGATGTGCTCTACGGACAGGAATATGGACTCACCTCAACTAGGTTCTCAGACAGGGTCCAACAACAGATGACGTCAGCAATGGCATATACAGTAGCAGTTAAAGCACTCGGGCTAGACATCCGGCATGATCGAGTTAAGCGAAGGCTCAAAGGATTATGGAAACCGAAAGGAGATCTCAAGCCGGTGGACACCGTAGACGGATACCATTTCATGCGATTCACCAACGAAGAGGATTACTACTCAGCCCTTCTCAATGGACCCTGGTCACTTGACGAGCATTATATTATAGTTCGATGGACAGATGAATTTAACACCAAGAGTGAAATATAAATGCTGTACCAACCTGGATCCGCATCCCTGGGCTCCCAATCAAGTACTTGCACACAAATTTCCTTAAAAGGCTAGCAAAACCACTGGGAAGATTCATCAAGGCTGATCGTAACACAATTACAGTGGAACGCGGCCAGTTTGCAAGACTAGCCATAGAACTAGACCTCACAAAGCCTCTACTGGGAAAAACTAAGGTCGATGGAAAATTCTACAAGATAGAATATGAAGACTTCCAACAGATCTGCTACTCTTGCGGGAAATATGGCCAATTAAAAACTGACTGCAAGGATTTTCCGGTCACACCAGTGGCGGAGATCCAGCGAACAACTGAATTACCAACATCGAGCCCAGTGACCAATGGTAACATGGATGACAACTCACCAGCACAAACGGAAAAAAAAAACAGCCAACTCGCCAAAAGACACTGAGGCGCATGCACCACCAACAACTCAGGGGACCACAAGTCTTGGCGAATGGATTCATGTGCCGAAACGAAACCGACGCCCCCAAATAAGTTCATGGGCTAGCTAGCACCGGCCCCCTCCATCAGCCACTGCTCAAGGACTCCTCCGGAATCCCTTCGCTGCCCTTGCCAAAATTCACAGAAATCCCACCGACCAAGCTTCCACATCAAGCACCAACCCTTTCCCCACTGACAGACCACTTCTACAAACTACCTTTGAAGTCAACAAGGTTTTCACCTTTATCAATGGCCAAACAAATGGGAACCCCAAAACCACTGCCACCAAAAAACCTAACCCATCGCACAAAGCCCAAAACATACCATCCATGCTCAGCAAAAGAAAGTCAGAGACATTGGGCGGAGAAGGATCCTGGACCAAAAAATCCTCCAAGAACACCTCTGAACCATCACATCTGATCCCTCTCAATAAGCCCGGTCCGATCAACACAAAATCCCAAGAAAGTCATCCCAATACAATCCAGAATCAAAATGAAACCACCCCAGACAACTCACCTGATCCAAACATGCCCAAACATACAGCGATTACTCTACCACACCCAAACCCTCCAAAACCCAAACAAAAAGAGATATCAACCTAACCCTTACAAGATCCCTGAGTAACAAGAAAGCCACCTGACCCAAACACTGGATTCCACCTAAAACCAAAAGTCAGAATCCAAATAGCAACACAGGTCAATTCTGTACCAGACCAAATTAATGACATGATGTGTGATGAGGATTTTGCAAACATACAAACAAATCAGCTCAATAACACAACATCAGGCAAACTGGATTCCTAGTTCGACGCAGAAATGCGCCCGGACTCTGTCAGGTAACCCTCTCCTCTATCTTCCCTTTATAGTTTTTCAATGAATCAACGAATTCTATCATGGAATGCATAGGGTATCGTGAACAATACCATTGTGGGAGTTTTAAAAGATTTACTGAAAACATACAACATTCAAATCCTTATTCTCCTTGAACCAAAGACAAACAAAAGCATAGCTAAACATATCATAAAAAATACATGCTTTCAAAATTCCCAAAGAATCGAATCCGTGGGATTTGCAGGTGGGATCTGGCTAATGTGGCACAATCGTATTAAAATTCTAATCCTCAAAAACAATTGGCAATTCATTCACTGCAAGGTTTTTTTTCCAAGTAACTCGTCGTGTTACCTCACCGTAGTGTACGGTAGCGCACAAAGGCTAACAGGACGCACACTGTGGCTCAACCTTGATCGTATTGCAGGAACCGTTGCTGGTTCGTGGTTGGTTCTCAGTGACTTCAATGAAATAACACATGAATCTGAAAAAACAGGAGGTCGGAGGTCAAAAGGCTGCAAACACTTCAAACAAAGGATACACGAAGCTGAAATAACTGACCTAGGTTTCCTTGGATCAACATACACCTGGAAGAGAAGATCTTGTCATGTACGACTGGACCGAGCTCTGACAAACTCAAAATGGGATTATTTCTCGACCAACACAAGTGTCAAACACCGTCCAAGATTATCATCAGACCACTCACCGATGCTGGTTCAATTTAACATTAAAAACTCCCCACGATCTGATGAACCTTTTTTTAGATACCTCACAGCATGGGAGGAGCACAACCAATGGAATGAATGGCTCTCACAAAACTGGAATGCAGAAGGAAACCCCTGATGCTTTACAAAACCTGGTGCAAAGAATACCCGACTGGAAGTTTGACACCTTCGGAGATATTTACAAGCAAAAGAGCAAACTAATAACAAGACTAGGTGGTTTACAAAGAGCACTTTTGACTCACCATTCAGGCAACTTGAAGGAACTAGAGTTAGAACTGAGAAAGGAGTATGAGGAGGTAGTTACATGAGAAGAAAAAATAGACACCCAAAACTCTAGATCCTTCTAGTTAACCAATAGAGACAGGAATACAAAGGTGTTCCATATGATTCACAGGCCGAAACAAAAGGGTGGGATGATCTCAGAAATGCAGCTAAATTCGAGGACATGGTGTTCAGACCAAAATACTTTAGGCCAGGAAGCAACTAATTACTTTCAGAAGATCCACACAAAGCCGCCAGCCACAAGACAAGAAAGCTACATCACAGGCCACTTTCCAAATATAACACCAAGACAGATGATGCAACTCACCAAACCTCTTTTGGATGAAGAAGTCAAGGTTGCCGTATTTGAGATGGACCCTTCTAAAGCCTGTGGAATCGATGGCTTCGGTGCCGGATTCTACCAAAGTAACTGTGCCACAGTTGGACCAGCTGTCTGTAAAATGGTAGAAGAAGCTTTTTCTACTGGCAAAATAGATCCGACAATCAACAAAGCAATGGTAATTTTAATACCAAAAGTCAACCCACCTAAACGTTTTCAGAACCTCAATCCCATCAGCCTCATTAATGTCTCGGCAAAGATCATCTCTAAAGTCGTTACAAATCGACTAAAGATGGTCATGCCAACACTAATAGCCCCCACTCAATCCAGTTTCATTGCGAACAGGAGCATCATTAGTAACATAGTGGCTGCCCAGAAAGCAATCCACACCATGAGAACCACAAAAGGAAAAAGAGGCTGGATGACAATCAAGATAGACCTCGCCAAAACTTTTGACTGCATCGCATGGGAATTCATTGAAGAAACTTTAAACGATGTGAAAATCCCAGCAACTCTAACCAACATCATCCTAAGTTCACTTAAATCTAGCTCCACCCAAATTCCATGGAATGGC